CTTTTACCTTGGCTCTGTGTTTCTTATTTTAATAATACGATTGGTTACATCTACATCAGCCTATGTGATAATTGTGTATTTCCCTTACCCAGAGGGAATAAGATAGCGCTAGGGCCCCAGGGGACACCTGAAAGAGCAGAGTACCACATCATGTCTTTAATGTCTTTTCTAACCTAACTAAGCACTTATGCAAAAGCAGTTACCATTTTTGCAGTTTAAAGCTACGGAAAAATTAGCATGTGAAGGGACTTCAGCCAGCCCTAGAAAGGCAAACAAGGCTCTGGCAGGCCTTGCCCTTCTCTGGCATTCCCTCTGCCTTTACAAAACCCATTAGATTACCTTCCTAAAGCTGGCCATCAAGGTCCATTCCCTTGTTTGGCCACTTTCTCCTCCTGAGATTGACTACCAAGATCCAGCTATCAAACTATTGAAGTCCAGCACTCAGAAGCCCCCTTTTGACTACTCTAATTAACATGCCCAATTAAATTAAACACCTCACCCTAACATGGGGTTTCTGCTTTCACTTTTATAAACCACCATTGTCCTAGGGGCCACATCTCCTCTCCATCCAGAGGCAGTTCTTTGCCCCCTTCTGGGACAAGCATTTCTGCTTGCTTCCCTTATTCCCTTCCTGTTAAGATCAATCCATGTGTGCTGTGGATATTGCTCAGTATAAATAAAATGCTGTCTGGCCAGTAGCCAGGCAGGAAGTATAGGCGGGACAAGCAGAGAAGAGAATTCTGGGAACAGGAAGGCTGAGTCAGAGGAGCGGCTGCCAGCCGCTCCATGAGGACCAACATGTAAGATACTGGTAAGCCATGAGCCATGTGGCAAAGTATAGATTAATAGAAATGGGTTAATTTAAGATATAAGAACAGTTAGCAAGAAGCCTGCCACGGCCATACGGTTTATAAGTAATGTAAGTCTCTGTGTGTTTACTTGGTTGGGTCTGAGCAGCTGCAGGACTGAAGGGTGAGAGAGATTTGTCCTGACCGTGGGCAGGACCAGGAAAATTCTAGCTACACATGTGAGTCCATTTAATGGGTAATAGGGATTTATAAATTCATGAATACAGAACTGAGTAAACAGCTGAAGTTGTCCTCTGTTCTTCAGGTTCCTTCTTCGCAGAGGAGACTGCCAGACATTCTGCAGGACATGGGGAGAACCGACTGTTGAACTTTGCTAAAAGATGAAACAATCCTTCAAATTTCCTGCTTCACAAAAAGTCTGCCAGAGACTGTAGGCCTGTAGGCTGAAGATGGTTGCCTCAGCATTGCAGAAGAACATTAACAGACTGTCCAGGCTGCCAGATGTCTCTGTCATATCTAGAATTTTGGAATTTGTTTACAATGCCCTCCCCATTTACTTAGGTAATATGATATCTTTCTTGGGTCTTTGGTGGAGTTGAAGACTGGATAGTTATAATTATGGCTTCCTTTAATCATGATAAAGGGTAAATTAGATATGAAACTTTAGATTCACAAAAATAAGATAGATGATAGAGTATTTTCTTTAATTTTGCTAAATACAAATAGACTAGATACTGTAACTATAATTCTTGATAACTGTTTTGTTACATGTAATTTTACTATATTAAGATGAAAACCTTCCTATTTGATTAGACAGAAAAGGGGAAGTGCTGTGGGATGTCTTTCTGTGTGGTATGAATATGTGTTGCTCCCATTGGCTAATAAATAAGCTACTTTGGCCTATGGCAAGGCAGCATAGAGGCAGGCAGGGAACCCAAGCAGAGATACAGGAAAGAGAAAAGCAGAGTGGGGGAGATACCAGCCCGCTGCCCAAGGAACATGTTAGCAGGTTGGCAGAACAGTAATGGCACAGCCATGGGCCACATGGCAAAACATAGATTAATAAGTTATAAAAGCCAGCTCGTGAGAATCCTGAGCCATACGCAAACAGTTTGTAATTAATATTAAGCCTCTGAGTAGTTGTTTTATAAATGGCTGTGGGACCATGGATGAGAGTGATTTGCCCAGACTGTGGGGCCAGGTGGGACTGAAGAAACCTCTGGCTACCCCTTTCCCTTCTCCCTCATCCACCTCTTGGCTTTGTCTCTTTCTCATTCCCTGACCTTCGTCCCTCTGGAGCAAATAAATCTCCTTTGTGCTACTTGGTCTTGGGGGTCCTGAGCCTATACTGATCCTTTCAGCATGTATGTTTCCTTCCCCATAATGTTATGGCTACAAGATTATTCTTACCATAGATCTTACCAACCTCTGCATTTGATCTTCTTTTTATCATCTGTTGAGTGGAGACTATTCACCTGTTCTCTTAAAAGATACATATTTGAGCTTCTTTCTTTTCTTTTCTTTTCTTTCTTCCCTCCTTCTTTCCTTTCTTTCTTTCTTCCCTCCTTTCTTTCTTTCTTTCTTTCTTTCTTTCTTTCTTTCTTTCTTTCTTTCTTTCTTTTTTTTTTTTAGAACCAAATTACCAGCATTATCATGCTTACATTTCAGGGCCATTATTGGGTAACATAAGGATTACTTGAGCACAAGTATTTCATCACTGCTATGGTTGGTCTAATAATCAGGTGTCTGTGAAGTGACTGATGGCAGCTAGCATAGAGAAGTATGGGTAATGTAGATGGAAAGGATGAAATGCATCCGAGGGAGGATGGAATAAGATGGAAAAAGATGTCATAACACTATTTAGGATGACATGCGGTATGAAACTTACAGAATTCTGGAACTTTTCCATTTCATATTTCCTGGCCACAGTTGATCATAAGCATGCTATTAAGAGTTAAGAGAGGCCAATGTTATCATTTTCATTCAGCATTTGTTTCTCATTTTACTGTAAGAAGCATACTGACGAGGACATGTGAAGAGTGTCATTTCCTGCTGACTCAGATACAGGATACAGAACCAGGTCAGTGGAAACCTTAGAATTAAACTCTGGAGATCTGGGCATGTAGATTACAGCAGCAGCACCCAGGATCTCATCAAAAATGAAGATTCTCAGGCCTGCTCCCATCATCTGTTCTGCAGCCCTGGAGGTAGTCTTTGCAAATCTGCCAGTCTCTTTCCCCTATGCCCATGGGGAGAATTGGGAGACTTATAATGAACCTACACATACATAGCCTAGTCATGTAGGAGATTTTTTTTTTCATCAAATTCTCCCTAAGAACAAACTAGAAGGAAAGGACACATAATATATCAACTCAGCATTTTGGACTATGGCACTAATGAGACCCAGTCATGATTTCCACACCAGGAGAGTCACTTGTGTTTATCAAGATGAAGGTTTATCCAAGTCCATGGCTCAGCTACTGCTCAATTTGTCTTTTAGAATTCAGTGTCCCTCTGACATCAGATGATCTGTGGTCCTCAGTAAAGAGGCAATTTGATATCACTATTCATGATCAATCTCTTTGGCCAGCACTTAACCCCAACTGGGTCTCACTTTTGACACTAAGTAGTTTTCATAACTCAACATTTGTGTTTCTTATTTCACATACAAATGACTGAATATTTCTCAAAGTATGCAAGCAAGGCAACTGATCATGGGGCCTCAATAAATGCATCTTATGCAAAGGAATGCACGCTTCTACTTCACCAGCCACTTTTAGCCTACAAGCAGAAAATGCCCACAAGTATGTTGTTTAACTGGCATTGTTATACTACAGCAATTTTTTTTTTAAAAAAATTGAGTTATTTCTCAATATTTAATGAATTTCTATTTTTACGTAGAATTGTGAAGTTTGGCTTTCATCAGAAATACCAGAACATGGGACAAGGATGGTGTTTCCCAGGTGAGGACTACACAGCAGTGGTGAAGATCACGGCCACCCAAGTAATCCACAGCTCTTGTTTTTCTTCTGTGTCATACAAGCAATGGGGTTGTCACAGAGCAAACTGGAAGTCAAGACATCTCTTAAGCCTAAGAAACAAAATTAGGTGGGTAAAGACTCACATAGGTTTGAACCTCAAGAAAGAGATGAAAATGAGCTTTTTATTTTGGAAGTTCAAGCTGTTCCGGAGGCAGGATGAAAAGAATGCAAAGCTTAGGAAGACATGGGAAGTAATAGGAGCCACTCACTGAAATCTGAAGGGGAGTCAGAAATGTCAACTGAGTAGATAGTGTTTGTTGTCCTACAGACATCCCAAGTGGAATTAGAAAACAACCAGCTGTTTAAGCAGGGCCAGGATGCTTGTAACCCTAAGTTTGAGAGTATGAGCACTCCTTTGTCCTTCATGAGCCCAATGACAGCACCCCACAAAAACACCTTCCAATGTAATTTACAGAAAGAAATTCCTCAAGAGACAAGTGAATCAGCTCATGTTTTATTTGATTTTTAAACTCTCCCTAAATTCTTAGCTTTGATTCATGTTTAAACCTTGCTGTAAATGACACCCTTGGAACAATGTTACTTTAAAAAGCTCCAGAATCAACTAAACAGCCATTGTAGATGCCTAAGCATAATTCTCTTGAGAAAAGAATGCCCATGTCTTAGATGTGTACTCTGAATTCCCTGAGGATCTCTCTCCCTCTCTCCCTCCTCTTCTTCTCCCTTTCTCTCTCCCACTCCCCGTGTGTGTGTGTGTGTGTGTGTGTGTGTGTGTGTGCCTCACTCAATATCCATGCTTAAGCATGTACCCTTGTTTATCATAATAAACTTCCTCATTTTGCTTCACTCTTCCTTGCCCTGAAATTCCTTTCTGCAACAGTCAAGGATCCAGCTTTGTTTGAGTGGAGTTCCCCAAGGAGGAAGGGAACCCCTCAGGCTGTGGGCAGCTGTGATGGGCTGTATCTTCCAGCCTACATGTTCAGCATGTAAGCCAAACATCTGTTCTGAAATAAAATGTCTGAAGGCTGCAAAAACATCCTGACTAGCTTCACCCATGTCCCTTTCCATTGGGCCTCCACAGACATTTGTACACACCACCACAGGTTTTGAAATAAACTACGACCTCAGATTCTACTAAGACACATGTTCTCAAAATGAACCGCACATCAGTGCTACTAGGAGAAACATAAACATACTGATGCTTGGGTCCCCACCCCAGAGGTTTTATTTTAACCAGCTGTGTCATGGCCCAGGTAATTTTTTCAGCATCCAAAATTGGTGCTAATGCATAGGCAGGGCTGAGGATAATTTACCTGAAGGAGATGGAAGATGGGAGTTCTCCCACAGCTTTAGAGATTTTAGGGGGCTAGTATTGTGTCTCCCTCTCCCAATCTGTTGCTTTGTAAGATCAGCTGATAAGGATTTAGCTTTCGATTCTAGCTGCAAGGAAGTTAATGAAAGCAGAGTCTTACACACATACAATTCCCCATTCTGCAATTCAAGTCGGCAGTCAGACCCTCCTACAGTCTGCCTGCGAGGCTCACACACGTGCATATTGTTTTATTTGTGTAGTATCTCAAGCAGAAATGAAAAGGGTACATGGCTTTGCTACTTAGTAACTATCGGCACAGCCTATGTGGTTGATTACAGGTTAGCAAATGGGAACACATCATCTAAACTACTGAGATCCTCCAAAATACCACAGCTAAATTCTGGACTGAACAGGAAATCTCTAAAGACTGATAACTTTTTTTTTTTTTTTTTTTTTTTTGTAACACGTCTGGTCCAGACCTCTCTCCTACACAGAGATTTGATGGGCTGAGGATGAATGACTTGAATTTTTTACAAAACATCCATTTATGGTCAGGGTCTCCAGAGAAACACTGCCTGGAGTGAGGGAAGACATTCTTTTATTATTATTATTATTATTATTATTAATTAAGAATTTTTATTATTAAGAAATTTTATATTCATTTTATATACCAACCACAGATTCCCCTCTCCTCCCTCCTCCCACCCCCAAGCCTTTCCCTCAACCCACCACCCATTCCCACCTTCTCCAAGGCAAGGTCTCCCATGGGGAGTCAGCAGAGCCTGGTACATTCAGTTGAGGCAGGTCCAAGGCCCTGCCCCCTGCAACAAGGCTGTGTAAGGTGTCACACCTTCCTATGGCACTGGGCTCCAAAAAGCCAGCTCATGCACCAGGGACAATATAATTGCACTCCATGGAGGGCCCCCTAAACAGTTCAAACTAAGCAACTGTCTCGCCTATCCAGAGGGCCTAGTTCAATACCGTGAGGGCTCCACAGTGAGAGAAGACATTCTTGCAATCTTTTATTTTTTCTTTCTCATCCTACTATCTCTGATTTTTAAAAAATTCTAGATACAGACAGTACAGTTTTCCTCCACTGGTGAGTTTAATTTGGTGTGTTTTTTTAAGTCAAATAAATTAAGAAAACAGGTTATGAACAACTACCCTATTCTGATATCCACAGTTTAATGTCTCTTTTCAAGTAAAAATTTCAAAAATCCTTGAAATGCCTATTCAAGGCTGTCCCCGTATTACTCCTTGTACATCACTGTTACTGTCTATAAATGTTCTTTTGACATTACTAGGAAACATAATTTCACATATTATTTGCTGATTAGATTCTTTCCAATTCTTTGGTAGAATAAATGCTGTGCTGAGCATTTTATCACTGAGACCAATTATTATATCTGCTTTAGTTCCATTTAAGTTACTTATTTTGGTTACTATTGCAATATAGAACAGCATTACAGAGTCCAGTTCAGGGCACCTTTCTTCAGGGTTTGCTTTGCATGGGTTAGCATGCAGGGAGGGCCGCGGGCTGCTGGTGTCTCAGCGGCCTCCTAGGGGTGTGTTCATTCTCTCCTTACTTCATCTCCTCCTTCTCTTCCTTTCCCTGAATTTCCCGACATAACAGGTGCCTCTGTCTTTCCATTTGTGTCTTTACTTATCGACCCTACAGTCAAATTTCTTTATCTTTTTCTGATTCCTTCGGGCATTTCTCTACTTCAGACTCTTTAATTCTAAAGGCCGACAAACACATGATTGTGTTTTATTTTTATTTTTAATATGTACTGTAAGTTCTGAAAGTTACTGCAGCAAGCCATAGAAAAATATGAGTCTAACTTAATTTGTCCCCAGATTGCTAACTGTGAACCATTTTGTTACCCTCCTCCTTTGTCTCCTCCCTTTTGAAAGTGAAAAGACTGTGCACCGTGACTGTATTTATTCCGTGGCCATCTACGGTTTCCACCACACACCTCCTAGGTAAAAGCTTTATTCTGAAGATCTATTTTGATAGCATGGGCTTATTTATAAGCTCTAATTTTCAAACTGGAAATATGTTTGTTTACTCTTACTTGCGTTTTATTGTTTCAGTGAAATTTTTATGAGAAACAGGCACTACCTTTGCTGATCTGCGGAGTAGGTCATCCATGTTTGCTGCTATGATAATTGGTATGTCTGTTAAAATCTCCATCTCACTTTTCCTAATAGGGCATTTATTTTACTTGTTTTTAAAAATTATCTTGTAATTATTGATTTTGCTGAAGCTTATTCTTGTGTGTGTGTGTGTGTGTGTGTGTGTGTGTGTGTGTGTGTGTGTGTGTGCGCGCCGGTATGTACTGAACCCATGTGTGTGCTGCAGAGGCCTAAAGAGGACATGGAGTGTCCCGTTTTGCTCTCTGAGTCCTGTCACTCTCTGCTTCACTCCTCCAGACAGGGTCTCTCGCTGCATCTGAACTTGCTGTCTGAGCTAGGCTGGTGGAGCAGTGATGTGCCTGTCTATATTCTCACAGTGCTGGGGTTACAGCTGTAACAAGGCCTGGCTTACTCTATCTGGGATCTGGGGACTTGAACTCGGGTCTTTGCACTTGTGCAGCAGATGCCTTTTCCTACTAAGATGCCTTTTCCTACCAGCTCTTCTTATCTTAAACTGTGTGTGTGTGTGGGGGGGGTGCATGCACACACATGCTCTGAGGTTTGAATCTCAGGCCTTGTATGTGTCAAACATACTCTACCACTGAACTATAACCATATTATTATAACCCTGGCCTAAGAGTTTTTTGTAAAATTTATTTTTAGCTGATTACAATGACCTGTCGTGGTTATTCTGATGCTGGTATTTTGGAAGTCAAAAGTACATTCCATTTGCCAATTTCCCTGCCCCACCCCCACCTCGGCTGCCCTCAAATTTAAAGTATTTTTTGCTACACTGATCAGAGCTAACATGTTCCACATTCTATAGAAATGGAAATGTTTGGTTTGGATAGTTCAATATTGGTTTTGAATACATGTCCTCCATGTTGAAGATGAACACATATTTTGAGTAACTTCATAATTGTGCTAATATTTATTAAATGTCTTTCTCCCTTCTATACATGTAATGATATCAGTCTCCTGCAGTTTTGTCTGAGATATTTGTATTCTAATAGTTAATTATTTAACTTTCACATGAGTTCCAATGTATTTTAACACCCTGGGCTTCCCAAAGGCAAGTGATATATGTTGATGGCTTATATAAAATTATTTATAATCATCAAGAAACATTTTTCTGTTAAAAAATGACATTGGCACTGGGCAGTGGTGGCACATGCCTCTAATCCCAGCACTTGGGAAGCAGAGGCAGGTGGATCTCTGTGAGTTTGAGACCAGCCTGGGCTATAGAGTGAGTTTCAGGAAAGGTGCAAAGCTACACAGAGAAACCCTGTCTCAAAAAAAAACAAAAAACAAAAAACAAAAAAAAAAAACAAACAAACAAAAAAAAAAGACTGTGGTAATTGGAAAGATAGCTCAATTCACTAAAGTCCTCACCATGCAAGCATGGGGACCTGAGTTCAATTCCCAGCACCCACATAAAATGTCTAGCGAGTGTGGTGACGCCTGCTTACAACCCTAGTGCCAAAAAGACAGATGACAGGAGGAGTTCTGGGGTCAAGGGTCAAGGGTCATCTAGCTTAGCACAGATTTTAAGATCAAGTTCCAATGAGATTTTCTCTCTCAAAAAAAAAATAATAATAATAAGCTGGATGGTTCCCAGGAATTGACATCTGAGTTTGACATCTAGCCTCCACATTGCTCGCACAGACACATGCATACACACACATGCAAACACACATATACACTCACACTCTTCTCCCACAGAGATAGTTTAAAACAACAGCAGCAGCAGCTAGAACCTGCTTGTTTGTGTACATTATATTGTACACAACCCCTAAATATAAGGGTTATTTGAGCATGGATCCAGGAGAACTGAGGGGAAGACTAGTAGAGGCGTTTATACATCTAATTTTATCATCAGTTTCTGATTACTACATTTATCTGGTCTTGGTAGTAATTCCAGCAGAATCTAGTTGTCATAACTATTTAATGATCTGTTATCACTTCATTATAGAGTCCGTCCTATGGGAGGTATTTAACACCCTTAAATTAAAGGAACTAATCATTTTCTTTCTGCAGTACCAGTGGAGGTTAGGTTGGTCTTGTGCTGATACCAAATGAGCGTAATTTTATACCTCAGCAAACAAAGTAATGGGGGGTTTGGTGTAAGTGGTACTGCTGTGCTCTGTAATTGAAGCTCAGAGTTGGATGTAAAATCAAGGCATAAAGCAAAGTGAACACTCAAAAATAAAAGCCCTCTGTGTTCCTGCTTAAGGTGGATGTCCATTTGCAGAGCATGTGATCATGAAGCCTGTTCCAATGCACTGAGATCTGTATTGGAAGCAAATCATGTGCCTCCCTATGTCACTCTCCAAGGATGCCTGAGAACACATCCTTCCAACATCAAGGGACATCATGACATAAGAATGATTGAGTCTTTAAGAGGTTGTCAGAGTTTTCCATTGGACAGAACCATTAACATCTCCTTAATATTTGAAGGTGTCAGTAAATGTTCCAAAGGCTCTTCAGACTCACCCGAAGAATCAGGTCACATGTAATATATACACCTATTGCCAATTGAAATTTACATTTAATCTTTTAATATGTGTTGAGTAAGTGTAGATTCTCCAGATGTTTTACCCTTTACCAAAAAACGTCAGTTGTCTCATTTCCTTATAGCTATAAAATGTGCTGAATTTGTGATAAATGTTCCATTGCTTCATTGGCATTAATACAAATAAATTCAATATAATGTATACAAACAAGCCAGGTTCTTGCTGCTGCTGTTGTTGTTGTTTTAAACTATCTCTGTGGGAGAAGAATGTGAGTGTGAATGTATATGTGTGTTTGCATGTGTGTGTATGCTTGTATCTGTGTGAGCAATGTGGAGGCTAGATGGTTCATACAAGCATGTCTTACACATTTAGAAGAGATACCATTCATTACTGCAAGCAAAATGGATATGGGCAAATGTTACAGTAGAAATAAATATTGGAGTCAAAAATGCTAGGGTTTCCGGTCCTTGTGGGGAAAACAACAGCAAGTAGGAGAGGCATTAGATACAAGGTAACTGGGGGAAACACATCTGCATCTTGGTAACTGTGCCTTCTGCTGGTCAGAAGCCTCTTCTATGTTCAGGATATCTCCTTCATTGTTAAGTTGTTTCCACTGTACCAAAAATGAAGCCCTCAGGGCATTTTCCCACAAGTGCTGACTAAGGGTCTCTATTCTCAAAGACTGGATGTCATTATAAATATCACTTGCAGTGTGTTTTGACAGGACTCCCTTTTGTGGGGACCTGGAAAGAAACATTCTAAAAGGGAGATCAGATTCACTATGATTTGGCATGGAAAAGGGGTCACCTTATATCACCTTATCACATGCTTCAGAAATATTCCTAAAATCTTTTTTTTTATTTGGCAACCCAGAACCAACTAGGCTGCTCCCCACCTTGGGGAAGATCATGCCCATCTCTCTTCAGAATATTTGCTTTGCTTAGCCTTGCTGAGGAAACTTTTGCTCAAACCATCTCTGTCTCTTTTGACTGAATTACTTCTTTTTAGAAGATAAGCACCAAGAGTACCCTCTACACATACCACCACCATCACCACTGGTAGAGATTGAAGGTGAAATATGTTTATTTAGTAGACATATGCAAAAGAATCAAGCCACTATTATAGCCACATGTCACCCCAAAACAAAGTAAAATGTTGGCAAGATCCACCACAATTTGAATTCCTAATGCTGGCTCCTTCGCTATTTTCTTGTACTTACAATTTTGGTGTAATTCTGAAATAATGGGCTCATGAACAATACACTGCACTTACTAAACATTTTGGAGCAGCACATAACTTGAATACCAAGTTCATTGTTTCCATTTTCTCAGAATTACAGCCTGCCTGCAGCCAATGTGCTGACATGTTAATTTGTAACTGAAAGGCACACACATTCATTTTCATCAAAATACCATGAAAGAAATGTGGTAGAGTTGAAAAAGATGACAGCAGGGAGAAAAGACTCCCTCAGCATGATATCTGCTTTTTACTTTTTGATGGTTATTTGTGGACTAAAAGTTGAATAAAAGATTTACATCATCATTCAGACCATGAACCATAACTTCATAACAGAAATCAAACCATTAAAAAGAATTTTTTATGACAGAAACAGGCACAACATATTAGGAGAGATGCAGAAATACTAAACTATTAAGATCTGTAAGCCATCCATTTGTAAGACTTGCTATGTAGGGGTTAGAGATTTAGCTCAGTGGTAGAGCTCTTGCCTAGCAAGCACAAGGCCCTAGGTTTGGTCCTCAGCTCCAGGAAAAAAAAAAAGACTTGCTATGTAATCAGAAGGCTTGCCTTAGGTACCTAGATGTATAGCAAACTCTGAACTTGAATAAAGTAAGAATCAATGCAAAATATCGGAATTCAATGTAAGGTGTCATGTTATTATATTTAGAGTTTCCCAACATGTTTCTTTTAGCAGAACTAAAGCATAACAAATCAAGAAACTAGTCATAAGTCTACCAAAATATTGGAAACTGAAACTGATTAATGCATTGCATTAATCAACCTAGAGAAAGGCACAGAATTCTTGTGGAAGATATTTAGGCTACACATCTGATTATTATAATAGGAAATCCCCTGGAGGGTCAAAAGGCAAAATATCCTTGAAAGAAGTACCTATTAAAATTCAGTTTCCATTGCTTTAATTTCACTGCTTCCAAGATCGTTTTCTCTTTACATACTAGAAATAGGTCACCAGGGTACATCTATTCACTCAAAGGGAGTGTCTTAGCTGACAAACTCCTATATGAAGTGTAACTTATACAGTGAGTTAAAGAGTAGGCAAGATTCACAAAGTTGCATCTGGTAATTTGGCTACTGTGAATCAGCCTTTAAGGATTTATCACCTCTAGCTGACCAAAGATTCTCTCATATTTCAGGATACAATATTCTCAAAAGTCTTATCAAAATAAACCCAGGAAATTAGGCTTAAACTTAAATAATGTTTTAAATTTTTTTTGTCAAAAAACAGAAGATACTAGGACAGCAAAAGATGAAAGAAGCATAATAATGTCTT